GATCGCCCAATGTGGCTATGCATTCCACATCACACAGGCATACAGCCATCGCTTTCTCCAGCTCAATGCGTTTCGCCAAAGTACCGAGGGAGAGAATGTTAAAGTTACGCCATTCCACGGCGGGAGTGCGACAATTCTGGTTACGAAAATATCTGTACAATTTAGTCCGCACCAATTTGTGATCAGTGCCACACTCAGCTCCACGCAGTACGTGTCATGCGTACTTCACGCATATCATGCTGACGTAGGATAACATAGTCAAGCAGATGAGCGTGACCACTCCGTGGGTGAGTCCAAGTGGCTATATCACTCGCACTCAGTGCAACCCGAGTGTTCATGATCGTCAGGTCGTGAGCGGCACAGTGAGAGCAGCCTGTGAACGCTCGCATTCGCTGAACCAATGCCATGCGGACTGTGGACATCCGTCCACACCGATGCGTCACGCCCAACGCGCGCGCTGAAAGCACCCAGCAGAAATAGTCGGTCGCCCCTCGGCACAGACCGTATCACGGAGGATAGCTGAGTGTGGGATTGATCATGCGTGTCATCAGGATAACACATGGCCTGACCATACGTACATATAAAAGTGGCAAACTTACCTCTACCGAGTCGAAGGCGAACAGTCATCAGTCTCGCGCTGATGCGTTAGTTCACCCACCAGCTAACAATTTAGGCGATCGGAAAGTATAAATCTGATCCTATGTCCACGTGGTTCTGAGGCGGCATTGCCCACCCAGTAGAACGTGTAGACAGCACTTACTTCATGCAACTTACCTTGCTCAGCTAGTCGAGTCTCACTGAGCGCCGCAATATCGATGTTGTAGCGCACCAGTTCCATCGCGACCAGTGTAGTGCGTCGCTAGCGGCGCTCACTCGAATTTCGGTCCAGTACCCGATGCTGATTGCTTTGCGCGCAGACATACGATTGTATTGGTGGACAATCGCACCGGAGGTGGCAGTTGTGCTTCGCAGGTTTGCTTGACGGACTCCACCCATATCCTGTTTTCTTATTCTCCCATGATTCTGACGGCACAATATCTGCACCACAGATTGTGATATATATTTCGTAGAAAGTAGAAGTCACGATATATATATATATATATATATATATATATATATTCTTTCGGGAATCGTCAGCAGTGCGCATTCCATCGGACCCTTGGTAGGACTCGAACCCGCATCTCAACTTTTGCCAGTCCCATGCTGAGGCTGATGTTGCATTCTTGATGCTTCTTCACCGCAGTTGGGCTAAACCAACTTACACTTAAACTAGGTCTTTTTAAGCTGGCTAAATTTCATTCCACTTTATTTGGTTTGTTCTGCCTACCTGAATACTCTTCTATTAACTGGCCACGTTGCTTACATTACTTGCGCTTATCTTCGGTAACTCTGTTGCGTTTTGTAGCATTTTAACTAACTTGTGGACATTTTTTCCTTATCGCGGATTTGTTGCTAACCAACTTACTTCATATGCTTATTTAGCTTAGAGTTATGTCACCGTATCTGTATGCATTATTGTATTTGTTTTATTTCATCTTGTCGTTCCAGGTGATCGGCTGTTGCTTAACATCCCTGGTGTGGCTGCGCTTGATGTGCATGTTGACAAGGTGCCTACCTGTCTATTACCCACTACCTCGTCCATACTGGCTCTAGGAGACAGTTGGTCGTTGCTGGAGGGGACGGGGTGCACGGTCCTTGTGGCCGTGCTAGGCTCGAAGAGTGGTTCCATGCACTAAGTGTGGAGCGGACTACGGTCCAACCATCGCTTTAAGCGCTTGCGTTTCCAAATACAGCGTGCTTGTGTTTGCCTGTGAAGGAGTGTGGGCCGGCTCCGTTGATGAAACGTGGCTCCCATCCACATGCCTCCCATCCACATGCCTCCCGGTCTTATTCCTTCGGGTTCACACTGGATATGGGGTGTGTGGTTGGAGCTGTGGGTGGTGCAGCGCAAGGCACCCATGGTCCCTCTGTAAGTGCAGGCGTCCTGTGGCTTGCCACAGTGACAGGCAAATCCGAAACCGGATGCCACCAACCATTATATATATATATATATATATATATATATATATATATATATATATATATATATTGATCACAAGCGGTGGTACAGATATTGTGCCATCAGAACCACGGGGGAATAAGAAAACAGGCTATGAACAGGATAAGAACATACAGCATTTTTTCGGTAGTTTTGCACTCAGTTGCTGAGTTTTTTAATTGTCTATTTTATTGGGAAAGAGGAGGGGAATCACCGCAAGACGCAGATATACATGTCCGCCATTTACGTCGGTCCTGATCCAGGACTTCTAGGGTCTCCAACCAGCGACACTGTATCTCTGAAATCCCAACCAGGCAGTCGAGAACAACCGGCCGAGGCCAAATGTTGTTTCGTCAGCTTCTTCATGTGGCTTCTCCATATTGTAGGTTATCCACCACATCTTCTACCCAGTCCTGTCCAGCAACAGCGAACAACGCTCGACACGGAAGACGATGAGCGAGCATGTGCAGTACGTGTCCAAACTACGGCAGTTGAAACAGCGGGACGAGCTCCTTAAGCGAGTGGTTGCCTCCACCCAAGACACGCTGCCTAACTTCCACATTGGTTAAGTGGTGCAGCCACCATACACTGGCAAAGGACCGCAAGTAACGGTGTTCAAAGACGGAGAGACGGCGCAGGTCAACGATACGAATAGACCAAGTCTCGTGAGCGTACAACAGTACAGCGCGGACAGTCGCAGACGGATAGACGGATGTCATGGCGGCGCCACAAGTGCCTCAGCTTAGAGAAAGCAAGGCGAGCTCTTGAGATACGCATCGAAATCTCGTCTCCAACAGGTACACCGACTGTGATGCAGCCACCCAGGTAGGCAAAACTCTCCGTAACCTCCAGCGTCTCACCAGCAAGAGCGAGTGCAGGTACAAGCATCTGAAAGTCTTGGAAAAGAGCTTTGCACTTGGATGCGGAAAAAGCCATCCCATACTTAGACGCTTCAATCGGCAAGCGGTTGAGTGCAATTTGGACGGCCTGTGGACAGTCACCCGGTAAGATGACATCATCAGCGTGGTGCAAGTCAACAACTCGGCTACCTGGGAGGAGCTCAACGTCAGGTCTCAACGAATTATCCAGAGCATTCTTTAGGATATTCTCAATGGCAAAATAGAAAAGGAATGGGGAGATAGAAGATCCTTGTCGAACTCCACTAGTAACAAAAGAAGACGAGAGCTTGCCATAAGCCCTAACTCTACCTGAGGTCAGACTGTACACAGCACGCAGTACGGAAACGAACTTCCCAAGGAGGCCATTCCTCAACGAACAGTGCCACAATGTAGATCTGTTGCTAGGACGTTGAGAAATGGACATATATTTTTGTTACAATCCTTATTTACCAGCTCGTGTTTCGCTACCATTAGTCTTTTGATATTTGTTTAGATGTATTAGGTCTTTGATTTGATTGGCCGGCCCAGGTCAATCGAAATGGATTTCATCTCAGGGGTCTCTTTCCGTTAATGCTATTTTCTTGAACTCGCCTGATTGGCTCTTACGTTTACCAGTTCTTATTCGCCTGCATTATTCAGTGCCTCCTACGTTGATGGTCGACTCCAGGGTGTGTTAATAACATAGATTCAACTACTACTGTACTCTTTTAAATGAGCAGATTACTGGTATAAAAGAACACGGTCCTGGCTCATCGTCTCATTCTTCCTGCGGTCGTGGGTGCGTAGTCAGCGGCGACACAACACTTGTCGACAGAATCGAAGGCAGCGCGGATATCCAAAAACACAACAATCTTTGGTTTTTGGTACACATGGCGGAGCTCGAGGATCTGGCGGAGTGTGAAGATTCGGTCGATGCAGCCGTGGTCAGGGTGGAACTCAGCCTGTTCTTCCCGCTGTAGCAACCCGAGCATTGGAGATAGCCTTCGGAGTATAAAGTATGGCATAGTATACATGAAAACACTGTGTGAACTATCAATGTTGTATTGTTCTATTGCTTGGCTTTCTTCTAATAAACCCTTTGTCCCTGTTGAACTGAGTTCCAAGATAGCAAGTCGAACTTACTATCAACTACGAGTAAGACTACACGGTACCGATATTGTGCTCAGTGTCATATTAGGAGATTAGTTTGGTAAATACTACATCTCCATCGGTTGGAAACGAGATCAATAGACATCGTTCAGATCCTACCTCGAAGTTATTACTGTAAATGATCTGTTACGTTGGCAATGTACAACCCGTCCTCAAATCATAAGACTGCTGATGGTACCATTGCCTGGACAAATGTCGGCTGGACAACACGATGTTAGACGGTTACCTGGGAGTGAGCTAGGGATATCCCGAAATCGGCCGCAGTGATGATTGACAACCTAGAACAGCGTCCAGCTATGTTAATCGGGTCTGCGAGTGACTTGAACTGAGAATCAGTGTCAAATGAGAGCGAATTCATCATCAAGGCCCTGCCACTGCCATCGGAGTAAACACCACTGGGCACACAGCGGATAAGGGCAATAAATAGAATGAAAAAACGTCAGATTTGCGATGAAATGCTGTCATAAATGGGTGATACAAGTTCTGTTATCACGGGTAAAAAGATTCGTCCGGGAAAGATCATAGTCTTCGGTAGTGTTCATCGTTTCGATGTTGCAGAGTGAAAAGGATAACGCCCACATAACTGTCGCATAAAAGGTTACATGAAAAGTGTGAAGGTCTCACAGCCGACGTCGAAATGTCGAATGAATTGTGCGGCATCGTCAAAGGAGAAACGTGGTGACGCCTAACCGGTTTAACTGTGGCCAAGCCTGAGAACTGGGACGCATCTGCGTGTCACATAGGGGATCGAGACCTAATCCATCATCCGGCAGAATAAACCAAGCAAGTGCATCACTAATGAGCAGATATAATGATGGTGGCGAGCTAAGTAGCTTCGAGGTCATTCACTTGTGATCTCAAAAGTGATAAGCTCGAACAAATTCTGAGGAAAGCACCTAGAAACATTCACTAACCTGATCCACTGACGAAGCCACTGCTGGATACAGTATCATCCGGGCCGTACTCACGTGGAGGCATCAGAGTGACAGCTCGAGCATTTGGGTCATGGGCACAGTGTGCCTGATTCATTGCACGCAACAGTCGATCGCTATAAGGAAGAAAGTAGCGAATCGGATGGGTGGGCAAGACGCTGGAGGCGGCATGGGAGCGGATTTCGAAAAATGATTGGTTTAGGCTGCTTGAGATGAACGTCCTCGATTCTCTCGAGCTCAGCATAACGACTAGGGCCCGAGCAGTAAACGGTGCTGGACGTAATTACCCTAGCTCGTGTCGCCCTGACAACGATACTTAACAAGAGTAGAGTAAAACTCAGGTGGAAAACATTGGAGAAACAAAAGTAAAAGCATGTTCAGGGAGTAGTGCTAAGGGGAACTGGGCTGACTTATGTGAGGACCTGTCATAGTTATACCAAAACCGGTAACCACTAAACGGTGAGTTCGTCACTTCGGGACTCGCCAGAGGGTGCATTCCATTTGCTTTTTGAGGGGCTAATAATACTGTACATTTTCCAGTGGTCCAGCAAAACCGTGGCCACAAAGGGACGGATACACGACAATGTACTTTCGAGTTAAAGGATGAGAACACCGATCAAGGGGACGAAGTCGCAGTTCTGGCCGCTAACCCTAATATTGCGTGTTGCAAAAGTGAACGGAGACGAAGAGTGAGACCCGACACATAAGAATTGAGTAACTGGAAAACTCCCCTTTCAGTATAAAGAACAAAAGATCGAAGGTAAACAATTGTTTTTGATGATTCATCCTCAGACCCGTACAATCATATGAGTGTAGGAGAAATAGGCGTAAAAGTGGATTTGATCAGTTGGAATGAGTTTTGATCACATGCCGACCAAGGGCATGAACCAGCAACAAACGAAAAACTAGGACAAAGGTGTAGTTACACAATTAGTTGCCCTCAGAAGGATCCGTTTTGTGTGGTCAAGGTAGCTTAACAGCTTCGATCAGCTTTTTTGTGCACACAAAACGGTCGATACAACCGAATGCTGATCACCTCGGCAGTAGCAAGGGTGCGGAAACGCAGGCCTTTCGACTGGAGAGGAGGAACAATATAAAGTATTCAAAATGCAAGGATTGGGTCACCCTCATGCCCACTATCAACAAGATGAGCCATAACAGAGCTAGTTATAGCCCTAGTACCCCCTCGACGCAACTAGCGTGGTAGGTGCCCCTTAATGCGCGTGGTTACAGTGGCTACCGTTACCACCTGTGGTCTGGTGGTGTAAATCACTGATTTGAAAAAGTGAGGTTGCGGGTGGAAGCTCCGCACCCCGCACCACTGAGGCATCTCGAAAAAATGAAACGGCAGCCCAGCGCTTCCCCGCACAAACAGCATTGTATGAGTGAATGCAACCATGGCCAAAGTTTATATACATTGACCAAAATAGCCGTACATGGCTCAAGAATGGTAAAACTAGTTAACATGGGGGAACTAGAACGCTATAGTGTGAGCCGCGCCCATACAGAGTATGGGAGCGAAGTTAGGAATCGGGACAGATATATGGTGATGCAGTGAATTGGTCATGGCAGGGCATGTGTGTTTGGAAGATACATCATTGAAGAGAATACTGACCCCAACCCGGAAGGTGAGATGGCCTGATGGCACTCAACTTAGCTGTCAGTGTTCAGTTTCAGCTGATATATCAACGAATGTTCAGATCCAGCCTTACCCGCATTCCAGCAAGAGCTGGCAAAGAGCAATCCATCCAACTAAGTAATGACTGGGCATATGTTGTACTTGCCCAAATCAAGACGGTATGCACACCACTTCGTTGTGACTGCGCTTGTACCAACCGATACGAGCGGTGCCCAGTAGGCGACGGCAGTCAGAGATCTGAAGGTGATTATAGGGATCATCAGCTCGAAGAAACCAAGCGTCGCTGTCGGAGAGGAACGTGGCTTTCACTGTGAGTCTGTATACACGTGTTGGAGACCAAAGGAAATTCCTTTCTGGAGTTGAAGGCAACGCAGAATCAGAAAGACAGTACTAATGTTCGCGGCGCTGCTATGAACAGACGAATCAACCAACTTACCTTTCAGTCATCGAAGAAATAACAAATGGAAGGATGGTATAAACCAAAACTTAACAACTGTAAAATGTAAATACCCACGCAATGGATGGTAAACTTTGCAGTCACAATTGTAATGCGAGCGAATGCGTGCATGTGCAAGAAGAATAACGTAAGGATGAAAGGGGCTGGATAATTCGACTGCAGGCGAAAAAAGCAGTATTCGTGTAAATTCTCCACAATCACAAGCACCTACACATTGGTCGCTTCGTGTTCTTTGCGAGCGGTCCAGGCAATGTCCGAAGCCAACGAGCAACCATCTAGGCTGGAGTGCTGTGCTGTCGGATCCGGCGACGAGCTGCTTCCTTCGCTGACATCAGGTTGCGTAGAAGAGAACGATGACGGCGGAATCGCAGTTTGGTCGAACGCACAAGGGAGGGGGTGAAAAACGGTCGGAGTCGATGCTGATGAATTGCTGCCGGTCACACTGTAAGGTGAAAAGGTACATCCAGAGCGAAGGTATGCTCGCCGAGAACGCTTACGGAGGGCACGGATTTCGGCCTACAAGTGGGGGAGAAGCTTTTTAGGTACCGAACAAGAGGGCTGAAGAAAGTGAATAAGAAGTACCCAACCAGACTACACATTGCATGCTCATGAGAAACATAATGGGCGGGAAAGCCAAAGAGGAAAGGTATCATGTGGTAATTCACCGACAAACCAGCTAGTTGAATCAATTGGATATCTATGCAGTGATTGCTTTTGGTTGTTGATGCGAACCGAAGCGGCATAGATTGCACACCGTTAGTAAAATCGTTAGCGAAAATCAAACCAAATGCTAAAGAGGCAGCGGAACGAACATTTGGTTACCCAAAAATAACGAAGTAAAATCGCCCTATAAAACCAATATGTTGAGCATTCTCAGCAAGGCAGTTCCACTGTTTAAGAGAAAGTACAGCCTTGAAGCCTTTGTGGTGTGGTTGTACAGCGTAAAGGCGCCGAAAGTTCATATGTGGTTCGGTAAATTCCGAAGATGGCACGGTTAGAGCCGTCTGACTCAGATAAAAGACAGTACCCGAAAGCTGAACAGTCCCGCTGGACGTGACTGGATATCAGAAAGACAAACCCTTTACCGGTGTGACACTCATAGATCAAAGGCCTGAGTATAAACAGGCATCCAGTTTCGTATGAGCAGCGTGTTGGAACGATAGGGACACAGTGGTCATCGCCAGTGCTGAAGAGCCATGATACACTTCTTCATGCTTCCGCCTATTGATAGGGACAAGAACTGATAATTGGTCTATTTCGCAGCTAACGAAACCGAACGAACCCCTGCTGCAAAGGGGAACAAGGCAGAAACGGTACAATAGTATGATAGAGATACTGCCTGTGGTGCGGTATGACTCGATCTCATCATGATTTCGGCACTCCATATATTTAAGTGATTTCCTCATGCTGAGGCCGGTGCTCCATCTGCAAACACAATGAAGCACACGCGGACGCCGGTAAAAAAGCATCAACAGTACACCGTGTCCACGCTTCGCTGTGACGTAACCATCACCAGTTGCGCGCGGACTAAGTACACTGCGAGGGCCGCCCAATCCCCTACGCAGACTCGAACTCGCGACCTCCGGGTTGCAAGGCAGATGCCTTGTGTTTTTGATCACGTGCTGGCAGACATCGGTACAAGCTTGTGGCATCGGAGTTGAAAAATTACTCACTTTCCATGCTTCGAACGGGGAGTGGTCAATGTTAGGAACAGTCTGCCAGAACGCGCTGTGGACGCCAAATCTGTGCAGCAGTTTAAAACATTACTGGATTAACATTTCGACACCGTTCGATCCACAGTGTGATTGTGCACAACGGATGACATCGCACGTCTGTGATTTCAATGCCACTGTGAATGTGATTTTTATATTTTAGATAATAACTAGAGAACGATTAGTGTTGATAATTGAGACACACTTTTAGGTTTCTGGTCATAGATCGACGGAGTTGTACAAGTTTAAATTTCTACTAGTGAGTAGTAATCAGAACCACTCATAAACACATACAACAATATCATATCGATTTACGGTGTTCAGGTGTCGTGTGGAGAAGGTTTCTATGTAACCAGCTCCATTTTCTCATTGCACACATTAATTGAGCGTTAACGTGTGGTTGTGCGTGGAGAACACCGAGCAATAAGCCACTAAAGAACAAAAGTGAGCCCGGGCGAATTGCACAGTCAGGAAGCAAAAACGGTTGTTGCGGTGTTCACGAACGGACATAAGATTGGTTACCTGGATCCTCAAAATGACAGAGCGGTGAGAGCAAATGGTAGAAAGAGTCATAGTGTCACCACTAGGTACTGTTTTCCTGGGTTGGAGTCACGAGATTGATTACCTCAGTGGTCAGAAGTCTGATTGGAAATCGTGAGCTCAGGTGAAAAAGGTGAGTCTTTCAGTTCGTATGATTAGACAAATCTGCGTCGCCTCCCCTGTTTGGGATAAATGTGAATTTCCTGTGTTGGAGTACTTTTCATCTTCAATCGACATTCCTAATAGGAAGTATCCTAGACAGTGTCGCCTTTGCACGCCGGTGCCAGAATCACAACAGATGAACAGCGCTGCGCTGCAGCGGGCAATGCCAAAAGCGTTTCTATCTCAAATGCAGTGCCCTTGGTAGAACAGATGTAGAATACCTCAAATTTGCTCTCAATCCAAACATGAGCAGGAAAAGTCAATCGGTGCACGAAGTTGGGACTGAGAGTGACTTAATGTGGCCGAGTAGATGCACCCTTCAGATGACAACCGCCGGATTGGCGAGGTGATAAATGTGATTGTTTGGACTCAAATCATCAATAATTTGAGTGCAGCTCATTCAAAAATGTTCGAGATAAACTGGCCGATTGAACCTGGTTTCAGCCAACCCGGTCGTCGAGCCATCAAGTGGGTTACCATGCGCCCTGGAGGAAATCGCGGCAAGAGAATACGTCGATAATGTCATGTACCGGACGGCATTAGCGATCACCAAAGGAATCGCATATCTCATAGAAAGGCACAGGAGGTGAAGCGAGAAAAATACACCTCAGGGACAGTCAAACCCATCGTGTCTAGGTGAACCTAGTGCGAAGGCGCACCTATCGACCGGTCAGTACAAAGAAGAAAGCAAACAGAGTGACCGCGTTCTGCTGTGCAGGCGGGCATACGGACCATGTGGCTTAACCGGTGTAGATGATTTGTGTTCGACAAACACTAATATGTGGTGCCAGAGGGTGTATCGTCAAACACAAAATGACGGACTACGGTTTTCGTCGTTCGGTGTCCCAAACCAAAGCGGCAATCAAGTTGAGAGCAGTACTTCACAGCGTAATGCTGTGGAGATTGAAAAGCTCAAAGTAGTTTACAGCAGGTTAAGGCTTAAAAAGGCACATAACGTAGACAACAGACAAATCTGCATTAACTAGTTATAGTCAATGCGCGCACGCCTCAATCGACTGGGCGGTACCAAAACACGCCAACATGGGAATCGCGTCTCGCAACGAAATGGAGTATGAACAGTGTTGCGGTGACCAATGGAATGGTGTAAGTTGGAAGAAGCGTTACTCGCACCTCTCGTATGCAGAACATGATGGGACTGATAATCTCAGTAGCGACAAACAATAGTGAAATCCGTTATTATCCGCATTGGTGAGAGGTCACTTGAAAGGTGGACAGGTATATGGATTACCTATGTTATCGTTCGGTGAGGGCTGACTTGTGAACGACGGACAATAATATGTTGAGCCTGCCACACGCGGTTTCAAAGTGTCATCTGAACTGAAATAAGTACAATCGGAATGTACATGGAAACAACGTATAACCATGGGAACAGTGCACGTGAGTGAACGGAAGTAAAACTATCTAATCACAAGGGAGTAAACAACACTGCCGGTGAACTGAATCGACGATGCTTCTTATGGAACGACACCTTTACCTTAATGGCAGAGGGGGAACAACCATGAGCAAGGTAAGTTTACCAAAATGGTAAATGGAGACGCGAGTCAACACCACAAATGCATGAATGGGGTTCTCAAATTATGCCACGGTTATCGAAATCCAGAGATTCACTTCAAATAAGACAACAAATAACAAAGAAATCCGATCAACTCCATCCATGCCACCAACCAACTAGTCAGAGCTAATTAACAAAGTAATCAATTACTCGAGTTATGAATTAGTATGCATGCGTGTATATACACACTGTAAGTCCTCACTCGAGCCTCGGTGAACAGGGACATGCATTCGTCGTACTTGTCCCGTAGCTGACACAGCTCATTGGACAAGCGTTGCTGAGCAAGTTGGGACTCATTCAGACGGCTGGATAACATGTCGTTTTCGGAGGAGAGCTATGAAGAGGAAGAGAACAAAGCAGAGCTAAAAGAAAGAAGTTGCGACGTGAATAGTGAATGTGAGCAGAATAGTGCGCGAAATAATTGGGGTTTAAGCAGACTCAAATAACAGGATTGAGCCTATCCTACATATACTACTTGCCTCTGCCAAGGCGGATAGATGACGTCAAACTGGCGCGTGATGGCTGGTAGCCACAGTGAGCATCGCATGTGGTGTAAGATTGGTGATGATCGAGTCATGAGCGCTATCGGAACTTCCAATTCTCAAGTACATTTGGTCCATATTGGTGCAAACATGCACCACTTTACCACAGTTGGTTTACCGGGTCCCTTCCTATTAACTTGCAAAGGATACCATGGTGATCATCTTTAAAAACATCAGACCATGCGGGCGTGCTCGCACCACCGAGAATAAACTGTATAGTTGTGCATCTATAACAAGAGCTGAGGGGAGCGACTGCATAATCCCGATGGAGCCTTGAAGCTGAACCGGGCACATGCAGTTCACTAGTGGCTAGCATGGAAGAACGGTATATGAGTGTCTGCTGTGACAGAAATCGTAGATGCTTCGGACAATGGGTTCCAAGTCGTCGGGGGCACAATGAGTGTTGGGACGCGAATCAGATCAACAAATATGCATAGAGACACTGTCATCCTACATGTCACAATAGTGGAGACAGCACATACAAACTCCGAGAAGTCCTAAATTCATAACCAGTGCTGCTTGTCGGTTGAATGTGCAGACCAAAGGTGGAATCGCATCGTACGAATGAAAGTTGGCTCTGGCTTCCCTGTTAGTGTGGTTAACGAAGTCAGTAATGGCCTCAAGCTGATGAAGTGAGTAATCGTAAAGAGAGTGAGACATAATAAGAGAAAGGATAACTGACGATGGAATTGTATGGGCAGACAATATATTCCAACTGCCTAATCCCAGAGGAGGTTCTCTTGTTCGAGGCTCGTTTGACGGAGATTTTGACTGAATAGTCCGATCCACAAGGCAGTTGAGAGTGTGTGTGTGTAGCCAGGTACGGCCGCAGCAGAGGCCGATTTGGGGCTGAGTGAAACTGGTCACACACACAGCCAAGGAGGGTTCAGAACTATGCATGTATGCCCTTGACAGTAACAAGCTTCAAACTAATTATCATGACTGAGCGCAAGTTTTCGCACGCATCCGAATGGATCAATAGACGTGTTCAAGCAGACAGCAGCACACCGGTGATCAATTGTTCTGCTCCCTTACCAGCAGGGAAACATTCTTAGCGCACGTACTCTACGTCAATTGTGCCGAGCTTACAGACCGGATATCGTCACCTCCCAATGCTCAGTTTTGGGAGAGGATGATCATCGATATATCTAAAATCTCGGAAAATGTGGAGTTGCCAGACTTCTGATCAATCACTAATGTTGTAGAAGTGGATCTGAAAGCATTTGTAAAGCGCCACTCAAAATGGCTTAATAAATGAAAGAGGCACGACTATCACTCTCTGAGAGACTACGGTACAGTGCTAGCAAGATGATGAACGGATTTAGGTTGCATAACGAGAAATACACAGAATTCAGTGTGTGCATGCGAACCGGGGACAGTGTTTGTTGGAATCGGATAAAGAAATGGACTACGACGCAGTCTATCAGCTCAGAAGAAATCTGGTTGAGCAATAACTCAGATTGGTAGACAAAGTAGACCAAACGGGACTGGAGGAATTTCAAGGCAATGCTGCGAAATACAAGACTCGATGAGGGGCGCGCTAAAGGGTATAGTGCCATTGTCACTTGCAACAGGCGAAAAACATGGAAAATTTGCGAGTATTATAGATCCCTGTCACAAGAAACCGAGTCAGAAAAAGAGCCAAAGGAATTGGAAAAGGAACGACGCTACCCACCTGTTTCACCTTGTTCTCCAGATCCAACCCGCGGGTGAGCAATCGGGTCACCTCTGACTGTTGATTCAGGAATGCATCTGAGCGCCTCGATAGCTCATCTGAAAGAGTCCGAATATGCATGTTGGCTGATACCAGTTGACGCGCACAGTCACGGATTAAAGCACTTTCATGTTCGTCTAACTGGTCCGCAGTAGCATTGAGTCTGTTACGCTGCGTGACAAGAGAAGATTTATCAATTATATAAGTCATGCAATCAATGGAGACGTGGTTTATAAGGAGTCAGACGAGTTGACGCAAAGTAGATTCACAAGGGAAAGAGCAATTTAATGGTAGAAAAGGCTTTTGCTGTAGGATGAGAGGATGGATGAAGGAAATCTTACTGGACGTTTGATATTGTCAGAGGAATAGAGAAATCGTTAAAACAAGATTTTCTGAAACTTAACGATAGATGAGACGCATATCATGAAAGAGTACATTTATTTCTCTGCGGTAGGAGAAATCAAGGTGCGCAAACCGACGCTCGGCTTCGATCTGTAAGTGAGGCCCGGTTCAGCCTTTAGCACAATGTGGTCAAATATGCGAAGCCCAAGGAACAAAAAATAATTGATGTGCATTAGGGCTACCCATAGCAAAACAGTTAGCAACCATATATCGTGCTGTAGCGGAAGGGATCGGAAGATATCAGTGGGATTCGCAGTAAGTGACGATGGCAGGAGTGATAGTCGGAATGCAAGGAAGAATTATGCGACTGGAATGAGCAGAGGAGTAGGCAAGCGACAATCTGTGTTCAAAAGCCCAGTATCTAAGGATATACAGCGCCGCATAACCCATGGTTATCGCAATTCAAATAAAGGTTATGTACACGAAGCGCAAAACGATGGCGACAGGTACAGGTTTAGTACACTAAGCCGTATCCATCATCTAGGCAATTCGACAACTTGGTTACTAAGGTAATTGACTCAGTTTCACACTATGATAGATGATGGGACATAGTACGAGGTTGGATCCCACTCCTAAGCGTTACAACAGTGTCTGAGTGAGGAACAGTGTAAAGCGCGGCGGGAGGTAAGTGGCCGAAAGCGCAATAATGGTCGCCTGTCATGAGTGAAATTTGAATCAGTCGGATGGTGTGTAATGAATGAGCTACTGAGGCGGCCGACGGAGGCCAGATACAGCCCAGAGGGTACAAATCGCCATCATATCGATAACAGCAGTGCATAAGTGCATTGAACGGGCGCCCTGCCATCATAAAATCATCAGAACTGAAAGAGAGAAAGGGAGGAGCTAACGTTAATGAGAAGTGCCATAAAGAAAAACAGGCAAGGATAACGCACGTTTCTTTGTCAATGGTACGCGGTTACAAGCAACGCGTTATTGTGTTAGAACGACGTGGTTTTCAAGGATATGAGTCATGAAATCAACCTTACCCCACACAAGGATCAAACACGTCCTATGGACTAGGAGACGATAGCAAATTACGCCCTACAAGGTCACAAGCATAGAATCGATCGCGTGGACTCCAGCCTGTGAAGAGGAGACGGACCTAGGTAGATCCCAGCCACGGCTTGTGAAATGGCTAGAAAAATGGAGCCTGTACCGATTATATGGGCCTTTCAACATAACTGTGGATCAATGCAGCTAAGGTGCAAGAGTGTTGCAAACAGGTGAATTGGCACACGTTTTAAAGTACTACAAATGAGTAGTGAAATGAGTAATAATGGAAGATGGATAAATAAATAACTAAAAACTTCATATATAGTAATTGGAGCAAAATATTTTATAGTGGAAAAGGAGCTTACTAATACCCAATACAAAAACATGCAAGTACGCCGGCAGGTGTGGTCGAATGAAGCTTTCAGGTTAATTAGGACAATCATGATGGTGTTAGGCGGATAAGCGGAGCGAATACCATGCACGACATTACTGCACTAGGTCGTGCCAACAGCGTAACGCCAAACATACTATCAGGTGACCAACAACGGAGCGCAAGTGCGACATGGGTGGCTGACGAAATCGGGTAGGCGTCAACCGTGTGAGCGTAGGTCGTATGAAAGAGGTTGTACGAAATATGGTACACAGGTGCGATGTGAGTGGCCAGCAAAGTCAGATGAGCGTCGACTGAACGAACGGGAGCAGTACCCCGGCACGAAGAGACGGAAAAATATGGTAATGGAGGCAAAACGAATTGAATACATATTAGCTGAGGCCAAGACGCCGAGGACCGGGGCTCAACATTCCCGCAATAAGCAATTCGGTTGACCTATAAATAGAACCGTTCTTTACCATGGAATACACACTGTCTACCGAGTCTGGCTTTTGATTTCCCGGTTGAATTGGACACCAGAAATAGCGGATGGTAGGCAGCAGTAACGCAGCACAAAACACGGGTGATGTATAGGTGGAGTTACCGGAATACCAGAATTTCAATGAGCTAGAGGCTGAAACAGACAAAATTAGAAACTCCGCAAAGCGGCTAAAAATGGCCTGCAGCCTGTATCCACAACTCTGATGAAGTGGAAATACACCATAAATCGTGTCCTACAAAGCCAAGAGGGGAGTCAATCCAGCGGTCTATACAATGAAGACCAGGTGGTTTCCATAGTGCATCCTTCAGCTGCACAGACAGGTGCATGTCCCGGTCAACAGGTATTCAGGCAAGTGAAGGCTTGGGCAGAGAATCTTGTGAACGGCAGACAGATGGTGACTGGCAAGCAATCCCTGTAAAAACATGTCGCAGGAAACGGACGCAAATAAATGTGGCATTGATTAAATGAGGGCAAGATTCGGCAGCGACCATGTACTAAGCGGATGTATTTCAGACTAGTGTGGGAAGTAGATTGACGAGCAAACTGCACAGCTATGATAAAACCCACAAGTAAAACTGTACAAATGCATTTGTGGAGTACTTAAGAGCGATGGTTTGATCAATCTGGAGCGCACATGGTCAGCCGAGCCTGGCAAAGGAGAGAGTGTATTCGACGTGTGAGTGAGTATCGACTGAAACGGTGGGCTCATCGTGCACTCAGATGCAGCGCATTAATGCCACGTACACACTATGTACTGCTAGAACGGACTATTAATTTCGCATCTGTAACTAGCCGGGAAGTGGTAGTAAAGCTTTAAGTCGTATTCAACTTCAAAACGAATTAAGAATGTACAAAAGTGAAGTGCTCAAGTGCAAGCCGTGCCCATCTGATGAATTTTGGTGAGCGCAAGATCACGTGAAACCTAAGAAAGTAACATGTACGGAATTATTATGGATCAGATTCCACTGGCAATGGATGCTTCTTAAGAATTCTTCACAAATATACCCGAATAGATAGCCATCGATTCAAGGAGAAGTACTAGAGGGACATGTAAAGAAGATACATTTTTCCGACTCGGTGTGGAGAATAAGCAATAATCTAACCTTCGCAAACACAGTCTGCGGTTTCCAGGCCACATCACATGCCGGCACCAAACGGCCCGCTTACCGTAATTTCGTTTTCCGTGTACTTCGCTTGACGCTTTAACTTAAACGGACAAGAGAAGCCGAGCACCAGGTAACCAGTAGTTACTCACTGAAAAACGATTACATTTGTAAGTTAAACATGGTTGGCGGCATCCGGGTTTCGGATTTGCCTGTCACTGTGGCAAGCCACAGGACGCCTGCACCTACAGAGGGACCATGGGTGGCTTGCGCTGCAATACCCACAGCTCCATCCACACACCCCATATCCAGTGTAAACCCGACGGAATAAGACCGGGAGGCATGTGGATGGGAGCCACGTTTCATCAACGGAGCCGGACCACACTCCTTCACAGGCAAACACAAGCACGCTGTAGTAGGGGATCAATCGCACAAAAGGCGGTGGTTGGACTGTAGTCCGCTCCACACTGAGTGCATGGAACCACTCTTCGAGCCTAGCACGACCATAAGGACCGTGCACCCCGTCCCCTCCAGCAACGACCAACTGTCTCCTAGAGCCAGTATGGACGAGGTAGTGGGTAATAGACACGTAGGCACCTTGTCAACATACACATCAAGCGCAGCCACACCGGGGATGTCAAACAACAGCCAATCACTTGAAATGATATTATCAAAGAGAATATATATGCTAAAAAATACGGCTATGCAGAAATAACTCTAAGATAAATTAGCATACGAACTGAATTAGTTGTCATCGAATCAGCGATAAGTACAAAATGTCCACAAGTTACTTAAAAGTGCTTCGAACGCAACAAAGTTACCGAAGATAAGTGCAATTAGCGTAAGCAACGTGGCCAGTTAATAGAAGATTATTCAGGTAGACAGAACAAACCAAATAAAGTGGAATGAAATTTAGCCAGCTTATAAAGACCTAGTTTAAGTGTAAGTTGGTTTAGCCCAACTGCAGTGAAGTAGCATCAAGAAGGTAACATCAGCCTCAGCATGGGGCACAGGTATGTTAAACACAACGCACTATATGGACATATTTACCCTAGCTCTGGTGCCCGACAGTACATTCGGCTCAGTTGCCTGGCTACCATGATGCACCAAAGTTCCCTATCTGCTCAATCGATGCATTACCGTGCCAAAAGATCGCGCACAGGCGTCCGATAGTTGTGACCACAGTGCACTAGTGCATTTCTTGATGTTGGTGGCTGTGATAGAGACTAGCTCATTGCTCATTTACAACAAGCGCGTAACACACGTCGCTCATAATGACATGGGGTAGTTGGTTGACTGAAACTTGGGAAACCGTTGCTTCTGAAGCAAGGCCGTACGGTTCTATAAACGCCAACAACGTGAAATGCAGTCTGGTCACGTCGGTTGCTAATATCCAAAGTGGCCCACAGGTTCAACTCCCTATTTGTGAAAGATGGGACACAGCATAGAACCATCAAAGGACTGGCGGAAGAGTTGTAAGAGAATGAGAAGGTAGTTCGAATGCTGGCGGCTGTTTGAGTCTGGTGGTGAGAAACGCTGTTCACACCAACTGAATTCTGTCCACTGCTACCCTAACGGGTGCGCAAGGATTCCTATCGCGTCTACCTTCGCAGAGATGGGAAAAAAACAAAGCGGAAAGTGTTACTTCACCGCTTTTGCACGAACTGTGGACGTCGGGTTTCCGGATTCAGTGGCAGGCTCTTTAGATCCACACGGTCAATCAGACAATTGAATGGCTTAATCGAAGTGATATGCTATTTGTGAGTGTTCTGCAGTACACCATACACAAAACCATGTAAAC